ACAAAGGACCATAATTTTGCCAGTTAAACTCTGAACTTTCACACATCTGAACACGTGTGTTCATAAAACCACAGTTCATTTCAGAACACGCCCAACAAAAGACCGACTAACAATGTACATTGTACACGTGTCAAACGATTTTAAACCCTCACAGCTGTTTTTAAATATTTATTACTCCACTGAGTTTTATTATTTATGCTTCCCTGTGTTTATGACCACTTAAAATGGCAGTTACAACGAACTCGCATATATTGGATTCTGGGTGCTTGGCGAATTGGGTTTAGAGATCCTGGTAAAATAAGTATAAATACTCATGTACAATCTTTTTAATTCCCTGTGGAATAGCCCGGCATGTAATTAGGTTTGAAAAGTGAATGTTAATATTATATTCACTAAATTAATTAGTTACTCATAATGACTGTTTTCATCTTATGTTTTAGGTGTGGTTAGTGGTTTCAGTTTACTATTTTGAATACCGATTTAATGCTACTGCTCTAAGATGTTTTTATACATTTTTAAAAACTTGTATTGCATTGTTCTTTTTCGAAGGTTATGGCTACGTACCCAACGGTGCGTTTCAGAAATCAGCCAAAGTAACACTCAAATGTTCAAATACTGTCATGCAACACACGACATGACAATATTTGAACATTTTTTAGATTGATAAATGGTTGTAAAACAAAATACACAATTAAATAATATTTTATGTATATAATTTTTGTTATTTATTTTATCTCTATTCTTGCCGTAGATAACATGGCAACGACAACACTACGATGTTAAACTGTTTTGGTGGTTCCAGTAACCTCACAGGAAACTAATTTTGCATTGTGGAGGATCCCAAAGAAACGCATCTATAGTCTACAAACTCCTCTTTTGCATGGTCCGATGGTCGGATAATGGGTCTATTGTAACGCGAAACTACTAACCATAAAAAGTTGTATAGATTGTCGGCAGCAAGGTCCGTAACCGTCTTTTTACGTCAAAGAAGATTCTTGAAGACTAATCGTGTCCTTCACTTGGGTCGATAATGGGTTCAGAATCATTTACCTAAGAGACAATCTGATACAAGAGAACAAACATGAGGACTATAGTAATTAAAGTCTAAAACTCAATCACATTTTCATATTATAGTGAAACATACTTCCATATACTCTTATTACTGAACCATCTCTCATTTTAATAACTGCAATACAGATATTCAGAAACTAAAAATGACAATTTAATTACTTTGTAATATCAGATATCGGTGCATAAATATCCTGAAATTTGCCTCGTTATTGGCCAATAGCAATTTTAGTCACGTAGACAAAGTTACAGCCCTCCCCGATAATTTTAACCGATATAGGCCAATATTCATGGAAAATGTAAAGAAATAGGACAATTGTAATTTAGGAGATGCCGAGACAAGGGGTCAGAAAACCCCTTGAGTACAAAGCAATGGAAAGGAACACCAAAGAGTAACGAACGACCAATGACAATTTAAAGTCAACCAAAATAACAAACAAGTTAATAGAAAAACACTAAACAAAATATACATTCAGAAATACAGTATTTCGATATTGGTCGAGCTGTACTGTAAAGACTGAGTGCGCTCTACTTAGTGTTTTAGGATTGTTGATGTTTTTGAGGTTCCAGCTTTGTATACTAACTCTTGTTATCATGTAGTGTCTCCTAACCACATTTCGCTGCATGATCGAAGAATTTGACATAAAATATGGTTACAAAAAATTAAAATATATCATCAATTAAAAAATGCTACTACAATTAATTAAACAATTTTACATGGATGTTAACAAAATGACCACTTAAACCACCATAATTAACCAAAAGTTCCATTTCTACGAGATTACTCTGTACATTTATATTCTTCAAACTAAATAAAATGTTAAAAAATGTATTGAGTTTGATGAAAATATGTATTGTGATAGCTAATGGTGACTCTAGGCAGGGGGGGGAAGCATAAACCTATGCAAATTATTATACTATTCAGGGTAACAAAGAAAATTCTTGTTTTGTTGTCTTTATAAAAAAAAGAACAATTAATATAAATGTGTAAAAGTATGACAAAATCGCAATACTAAGCGCTAAAATAGAATGAGAGATTTTTGCCAATTTTCTTTCTATAAACAGGATTTTTATTCTATTATTATGGCTGGTTACTTTTCTTCACATAAACTTTAAATTTAATAACTAAATTGCATTGATGAATTAGCATTCACACAAGAATATTAAGGTTAAGTAGTATCCAATAAAAGACCAAAACAATGTATTTGATCTTTAGTGGTTGAATAAAAACATTTTGATTAATTTTGATACTCAAGTATAAATATTTAATGGGAGAAGGTGAACTAATCAAACAAATTTTTAAAAAGAACTGAGAATGCTATGATTAACACACTAAAGGTGCCCTTATCCTCGGAATATCCGTGAATACTTGATTCACAAACCATCCTATAACGACTGTAAGATACGAGTGACTCGAGGAGCGATTCCCAGTAATTAAGTAGAGTGTGCAGTGTGCAGTGTAGTCCGACCACGACGCGTGCGGTCACTGTCACTGGTCAGCGGGTCCGTCACACTCCAAAACGCAGCCGTGCCACGCCTGCGCTCAGCCCCGAAAATATCCGGAGAAATACATATCATAGGTAATTACTTTTGGAATTACTGTAGTTGTTGGTACCTGTTTACCTGTTTGCAGTACTTATGAATAACGGATTACAACAAAGCTGCGAATGCTTGCCGTGGGTATACATGCAAAAAATGATACAGGACAGAGAAAAGTCGCAACATGGAAAACTTGACTAGTCTAAACACGTTTCAAGTCAAACAAATTACCCCTATATTATTATTATCCTTTAGTTATTATTATTATTTTCTTATTTATAATGGAGAATGTAAAGAAATAGGACAATTGTAATTTAGGAGATACCGAGACAAGGGGTCAGAAAACCCCTTGAGTACAAAGCAATGGAAAGGAACACCAAAGAGTAACGAACTACCAATGACAATTTAAAGTCAACCAAAATAACAAACAAGTTAATAGAAAAACACTGAACAAAAACCTATTTGAATCTAAAGCAATGAGAGTTGATAGCTAAGAGATGTAAGAAGGGTAAAATAACCACCATTTACATAAAAACGTTAATTCTAAACGTCTGCAAGAACATTTTTTGCACTTTTGGGGAATTGCATTTGGTTCTGATTAAATTATCCTGGAGTTCCGCATTGAGAAGCAATGCCATAACAGCTATAGCAATATTTTTCGGGGCAAACCCATTTTACAGTCGATCGTTTCGGCAATGCCGTGTTCGCCGTTCGCTAAGCCGGTTGTCATTAATCCAGGTCAAACATTCCCCCGTTAGTTTTTTGCAGGAGTTGGTAATTAGAGGTAACGATGACGCGATGCAATCTTTACAAGAACCTGACCCGATCTCGACTGTCGAATACACAGTCGGCCGATCACTTTATTGCTAACCTGAGTAATGTACTAAAAACGGCCCGCGATAGCAAAAAGTCGTCGATCGACACTCGTCAGTACATATCTGGCTGTAGTAGCTACAATACCTACATCCTTGTATAAAAACAACAAATTGGTGCATAGTTCAGTGGGCCAAGATGAAAAACTTAATTAAAACCTCATCACTCAGGTTATTTAAAGGATAATAGTAAATCATATGTTTTGTTTTAGTTCATAAATATAGCTAAATCTTAATATGGTTTGAAAAAGAAACAAGTGAATGTTATGTAAGAGAAAAAAGCTCGTAAAAAAAATTCATCTTTTACTTTATCTAATCCGTAAGTTATAGACTGCATTTGTCTCTTACGTATAAATTTTAACAAGCTTATATAAACAATGGTCTAGGTCTAATATGCGCATAACTGTAGGAAATAGTTTCTTAAAGTAAAAAAATCATACTTCATCATAAAGCGGTGTATGTTCATGAAAAACATAGTTATACCTGTAAAAACGAGCGGCAATTGTGTCAACCAGCTGTGATGTTTGTTTCATGGTTAGTGATATGAGTGGTGGGTCGGCCAACAGTTGTGTTTTTGGTGACAACTTATTTTATTTTTTATATATAGGCTACATACAACAATCATTATTTACAATGACTAAAGAATTACTGTGAAACGCAATTTATTTTAGAAATATGAAACAAAATTACTAACTTAATGACAGTACATAGAATAGATTCTTGCCAATACAATCTGTATGAAAAATCTTTTTATTACATAAAAAAATTAGAAAAATTTAATAAGGAATTAATGTAAATGTAAAGGCCGTAACTGCAAAGTTATTATTTATAAATTAGTTGTGTATGAGTTACATGATTATGTATGACATTTGTCCTTTATTTTGTAAAGTTATAAACACCAGAGCTAATTGTAAACCCGGATTCTAAACTCATAAACATCAATATAGAGATCCCAATGTTGTATTGACAGTTACAATATTGAAATCAGTAGCCTACATTAGAAACATCAAACAACCAGTTAACAATATTATTCAACCCTTTTCAATGTCCAGGAATTACAAAAAAAGATTTATCGGAAAATTTAAAAGAAATCTATCACATACAAATTTAAGTTTGGATTCTTGGTTATCAAAAATGCCGCCGCTTCATATCTTTGAATTTAAAAAGTCGTCATCTAAGAATCTGTTGATTAACCGGGTGTTATTTGTTGGCCGTTCATAAAAACCCGACCTATATTCCCACAGATAATTTGAAATAAAATTCCCGCTTCAATTTTTATTTACAAACTATAACAAGGAATCCTTAAGTTAAAATATTCCACAAGTAATGCCAATCAACATCTATACTGAATGGTTCTAAATAACCTTGTAATTACATGCTGCATTAAATTTAAAAAAATTAACTAGGAGAAATAACCTTTTACTTCAAAGTAAACCTTATTGCGAAGACACGTAAATAGGGATCGTACAACACTCAGTATGCATATTTTTTTCACAATATCGAATGCTTCCTTCTGCCTACCTTTGGCTTGGGCGGTGACGACCCAGACGGTCAGAGTGAGGAGAAGTAGTTTATCCATGACTCGGAGGACACATAGACATACACGGAGACCGAGGAGGCGGTAAGAAGGACTTGCGGACACGGACGCTTGTGATCGCGACCGAGAGCTGGACTCGACTGGGAACAGAGAGTGAGACCATGTCCTTGCCCCTCCCCCACCCCTACCATGTGTGTCCTGTCTGGCTCACCGCTAGGAATTATCATATTTTTTCAAACTAACCTTAGACCTGTGTAATGATCGGATTATGAGGGCCTGGTTAATGGTGTAAAGGTAACGGCGTCAAGTTTAGACCCATTTCACTTATCTCAAAATTTCAGAAAATCTGAAAAATCTGGGAATGTGGTAGAGTTTATTAAAATGATATCTTTTCATCCCTCTTACAGTATTGGTTTACAGCTTCAAAGTACTTCAAAGTAAGCGCGAAGACACGTTAAAGGATCGGATAGGATCCTTCCTAGGAGGAAGGAAAAATAGGGGATTAAATCCTACATGTTTCTGAGGAGGAGCTTGTAGTCTCTTGTCCTCACCTCAAGAAACATCCATTAAACAAACTAATAAGTTTCTTATGAAAATGCAATTATATTTTTCTTAACATCGTCACTGTACACATACTAAGCTCTAAACAGCATCTAACTTTTTGTATGAAAGGGGGTTGTATAAGGAGTTATATGAGGTAAACGTAAGATTGTGGCGATGATTAAAGAGGCCTCTTTGTTTTATGGTCATACTTATCACTCATAGATGAGTTTAAAGTTAAGAGACTTATTGACAAGTATTAAATATTTGAACAAACCCGGAAGTACAATGGACATAAATATCTCATGGTTTAAATATTAATATCAATATTACTTAGTCAAACCTTATTTGGGGAAACCGGAGAGATGGATCGTGTTATAACTCTAAAAGTTCCCAGAGAAAAAGTTTCAGTCTGGCGGCTCGTCCCTGTGATACAGGTGGTTGGAGAGGTAAATAAAAAACAGGATATCCACTAATCTTAATGATAGCACTCTAAATGGACCCAGTAGATTTAGGCCCGGTCGAAACCGTAACAGGACAACTTTTACTGAATCAATTTAAAAGTACCGATAACGTCATAAAATCTGTGTAGCCATCACGATCATCTTTACTGCCCTGTCATAGTTGCATCAATGAGTAAATTTCTCTTTTGTCTTGTCCTTTACTTCTGATCATCTGAGCAAAAATTTTCAGGGGAGTGTTAAAATTGCCTCTCTTTAAAACCACGCCAGGTGCAGTCATAGAATAAAAAGAATCATCCATAAACCGGTTAGGCAATTATTAATTCTTCAGCCCACTTTACTTTTTAAAATATGTACCCTATTAGGCATTAGCTCTGCTTGAAATATGATTTAAATATATAGATACCTTCTATCACATGATTTCGTAAACTCTAAACTTTCGATGATGCTTAAGACATCATTATATCATTATAAAAATAAATAATTAACCTAGGCAAATAAAGAAAAGTCTCACTTGCTCTATGATTGTAGAAGGTACAATCATAGGAAGGAAGGTATTAGGATTGGGAAGGGCTATCTATATTCCTCGATATCCCGAAGTTCTTTTCTGATTTTAAAGGTATAATTTTAACACCAGGGCATTTCCCAGACAACGCTAGACAATGCAATGATTTTGGTTAAAATTCGGCTTTGACCAAGCTAGGTGCTCTATAGCACCTTATTATATTATATTATATTATTATATTATATTATATTATAGCGGCTCTATCCCACTTGAAAACGATTGAGTAACGTACTATTATGGTCTTGAATGAGTTGAGTTTTGATAAAATTAATGTCGTCATTTGGTGGTTCTTTTTTGTATTATTTTCTGAAGTGTTGGTAGCTTGTGGCGATTATACAACATGAAGTTAAATATTTACTTTAGATACGTTTTGTACAGTACTTGCCTTATATGTGTGAAAGCCACAGACCAAGATATTGAAGTAAGAAATATCAATTTACTGTTGATAAAATATTTTAGAAAATACTTATACATTTTCAAAAAATAAAAAACATAAACCTAATGTGAACAATGCTAGTAGCTTTATGATAAAATTCACCCTGATTAAATAGTTTATTTTTAATGTTATTGTAACCTTTAAATAATTTAAAACTAAATACAGTCATATTTAAACGTGAACCTTTTAGACAATGGTTTAATAAATAGTCCTGAGTGAAGAAACAGCTGATCTACGTCATTAACGAGGCGAAAGGCATCCAACATTAATCGTCTACACTATTTATATTTGGGTTAAAATACATTTAGGTAAATTCATAAAATGTATCGTAAGCGAAGTAGAGTAAAATAAAACTATTTTGTGTCACTTTAACAAAGATATTTTAAAATTAACTATTACGCGTCCTTTAAATTAATTTATAGGTGAATACCCTTATAAGCGTATATTCCCTATGAGTAACGTTCCAAAGGAAATCATACACCAACTACTGCAGTAATGTTACAGTATCAATAATTTAACATAGGATATATGTATTGCACGTCATATTATAGGATCCCATGTTGAAGATGATATCCAAACGGACCAAACCACAAAATCATTCTGTAAGTCACTAAATGATGTTTTGATAACCATCCTCTAAACGACGTTACCTTTTCCACAGGCATAACCGATTGTTTTGGTGGTAAGTCATCGTCTATTGGCTAACTCGCCCACAGGAACCGACAATCATAATCAGCTGACTAGTGACAAGGTGCAATACTTCAACCGTAACCACAGAAGCAAGAGTAAATATACATTGGCCGGAGGTTGTTTTTACCTTCTTGGTTACTTTCGCTGCAAGTACAGTAAAAGATTAGCATGTATACTCACAGAAATGTGCATGGGCACAGTACAGGTGTAAATGTATCATCAAACTTTGTTATTTTATTATTTCCAAGAAAATGTTTTCTTAGGGATGTTAGGTGGGCTTCGCTAACAAGACCTACAGATTCTTATCTCAGAACATCGCTATGCAATGTTCGCTAACTGCAAATCCTTCTAAGTAAATATTACCTTATAAGCCTATCAATGGTGTTATTTGACTAAGAAAAGTTTCTAAAAACAATTGTTTCAACAGTTTATATACACAATTTAGTTTTGTTATATAAATCAATCAAGATGCATTACGGTTGTTCGTTGGCGTTTGGTATTCTTACGGTTGCGCTATTGGTTTTTATTAATAAACATTGTATATCTGAATCATATTTGAATATGAATAAGTATTAAAAGTTATGTCTGGGGTTTAAAGTGCAATAAAACTAAGGAAACACCAATATAAATACAACGTTTAAACCCGTATAAGCCCCAATTACAACACCCTATGAATATAATTAAAGCTTGTTAGACACAACTATTTAAAAATCAACCAAAATAATTTCTTTCATCTTCAAAATGTTTATGGAAAATAATAACATTAAAGTTAGGATGATACTTAAAATTTTTTCATAAAACTCATCCATCTACCGTATATAAAACATTAAGGAAATTCCAAAAGTCAGAAAAATTTAACTATAAAGGGTAACACTTTTTATACAGTGTATAAGTTAAATTAAATATGAAAACAAATCTGTATTTTTAAAACCGAAATAGATAGAAATATTCTGTTTATGCCATTGACTGTTAACAAAAGTTTCGCAATCGTTTACATAAAAAATATTTTAAACCCCCCTAACAGGGTTGGGGGTAGGGATAACTTTTTTAAAACAGCAGTTGAGTGACCCCTCATTTTGAAGTGTTTGTAAAGAGAAGTACAATGTTGCAATCCCGAGGTAGTTGTATCACCTCTATCCAAAATGATCGGTATTCCAAAAAATGTGATTTTTGTGAAAAAGCACCAATTTCATAAATATGGAAACAAGTCTGTATTTGTTGGATCGAAATAGATATGAATATTTTGTTTGTGGCATTGATTGTTAGCAAAGGTTTCCGGGATTTGTTACATCAAAAATATTTTTAATCCCCCTAATAGGGTTGGTAGGGGGTGACTTATATTTCCAAATAGTAACCCCTATTCAGTGACCCCTCATTTTGAAGGGATTTCAAAAGAAATGCAATAATGCAAACCCGATGTAGATATCTAACCCCTATCCAAAATGGCAGGTATTCCAAATTTTGAATAGGTGGATAGGGTGCTTTTTCACATAAATCAAATTTTGGAATGCCTGCCATTTTGGCAAGGGATGATATATCTACCTCGGGTTTGCGTCATTGTATTTCTATTGACAACTCCTTCAAAATTAAGGGTAATTCAACAGGGGTTGCTATATGAAAAAAAAAATGCTACAAACAGGATATTTCTATCTATTTCGGTTTAATAAATACGCACTGTATTTAAAACATATTTATTAATATGTATAATTCAAACAGAAAGTAGTATGGATAATACCCCTTTATTAGAAGCAAGCTATCCTCAAACGTGAGAAATGTCTTGTTTGTTTTTGTTTTTAGATATACTGGAATCCCACCTACCAATAGAATACCTTATTATATGTACTTTGACAATTTGACAAACAAATACTGTTCGTTCGTATTTTAAAATTCAGAATAAATTATTTCAATTTTTAGTAAATTATATATAATCACACATAAGGGGCACTCGATGGTCTCTAAATACTGTATGTATCCATTCCTTTCGTCTAAGATTATTCCGTTTAATCCAGACAGCTTGGAATCCCAATTAAACCGGATTAATGTAGGATCACTACATTATGGTATGGATCTTGATTTGAAACATGTCTCATAACGTATGAGAAATTGAGCAGAGAAATCCTATATAAGCAGAGAAATCCTATATACCTGTCGGAGCGTAAGAAAGATTATGCCGGCCCCCAATCTCACACAATCTATCGCCAGATAGAAATCGCTTACGGTTTTATAAACCAAGTCCACAGTTAGTCTCACACCGCAGAACATCGCTACAAAGAGCCTGAACTGATTCCTCAACAAGTGTTGGGGTTGGAAGGAACAAATCGTTGTTATTCAAATAACACTGTGGTAAATGTAAAAGAGTCTCTGGTACAATTCACATAATTTGTGACTCTTTGTGGTATGTTTGAATAATTTACGAAATTATATGAGATTAAATAAAGTAAATGAATGTAGGTTTCTTGGTGTAGATAATAAACGTTAATTCAAAT